ACACACTCAAATCTTAAATAAGTCTTACAAAGACCAAAACAACTGAAAGTCCTCTTTTTTTATCCTACTTAATTTTTATCGTATGATTTTTAATTTCTACTTTTGTGCATGTTTTGTAGCACACAATTGTATTAGTTTAATAGTCAAAGTGCAAAATTTAAAAATAAGAATATGTTTCATATATTAATTTTGCATGCTAAAAATGTTTTCACTGATAGGATACATAAGGAATGAACTTCCCTTTGGAGCTATCTTGTCATCAGCCTACATCTTTTTGTACAGTGATATAGGAAAATTAATGCAAATGTTTGTTCTTTAGGATGCTGCCAACTTCCACCAGTTGTAGGTCACCAGTTGGTTGCTGTCATGGAGGTGACAATTATCCAACAAAGCCTCTCTTTCTTTATAGTGACAGAGCTGCAATTGGGATGGGGCTTCCCAGGTACACAATGATTTCCAGCATCCCCTGCATTTGCAGCCAGGTGTGGACGTGAGATGAGGCTCTCTCCAATGGAATGTGAGTGGATTTGGGTGTGCAGTGCCCAACTCGCTTGCTTAAGAGAAAATCCCTAGCTTTGGTCTATTACTTTTTCCCTCTTCCCATTGGCTGGGAGAGTCACAAGCTGAGTGACATTGGAAGCTATTGGTTGAAAATGGTAGAGCCACCTTCTGCTTTTATATCTAAATGACTGGGTAGAATAGAGCTACCGCCTGGGCTGGAATGCCAGCAGTGAATTTTCACAGGAGAAAGAAATATACTTCCTTGTTCTTGAAGTCACAGCAGCTTAGCCTACATTTATTATATAATTAGAAAGGATATTAATCACCTCTTGCTAAGTCAAAGAAGAAGGGACTGGATGGAAGGATGGGGAGTATTTCATAAGCTAAAGGACAGGCTAAAGAATGTGCATATATTAATTCCAGGGAACCAGAGAGAGGGAAAGCAGTTTTACCAGGGTCACAATACTGGATGAATGAATATCCTCAAATCTTTTTCATTTATTGTGTCTCATTGTTTATGATTAAATTTCAGGGAGAGAGCTTTCATCTGGACTGGCGTGGCCCATGTGTCCACCTGTTGTTGACCAGGGTGGGGGAGAGAAACCCTTGACTTCCTATTCTACCATAAGTTTACAGAATGGCAGAGAGTGGAGCATATAGGAAAAATCAGGATGCTGTTACCCAGAATATGAGAGATTTGACATGGGGAGCAAAACCAAAAATTGTGCATCACAATTCTGTACACACGGTACTAGCCCTTTCAATTATGTTATTGAATACTGTACTTGGAACAGTGTGCGTGTGTGTGTGGTACATATATTACATTCACAATATACATATTATATAATATATACATATACAATATATGTATATTTATTATATATATATATACACATTATACATACACACACTGTATATGGAGCTCTTTTATGTTTTAAAAAGTAATATACCATAAGCCCAAGCAAGTTTTGTTTATACTAATCCACAGTGCATGTGCATACTATGAGGAAAATTATGGCTTTTTCCCCTATCACCATGGTAGATATATTATTAAGTATAAATCAACAGCAAAGCGTCTTCAGAAATCAAGTGCTATGTTTATCTTGGTGTAATGAGGCTGTCAGTGTAACCTGTATTTATTGAACCACAAGTACTTTATGAAACTTTCATTAATGAATATAAGTAACTCAGCTCTCATAAACAAAGGAAGAAATTAGCATTTGGTTCAGACCCAGTGAGCCGAGCTGCATGTGTTCTAAGAACTACCTTAATGGCTCCAAAATGCTGCCACTTACAGCTCTGTGATTACTGTTTCAAAGTTATTAACCCAACGAAAATTGTGGTTAGTGAATACCATAGATAACTGTCTGCAAAATAACCATCCAGTTTCTTGCATACATTCATACTTGATACATACACACCACACATAAATATCTCTTGAGCAAGTATCTCTTCTCAATTCAGAATATCTGAAACGTGCCCTAGAAGTGTGTCTTCTCTTATGAAAACATTGTTTCTAAGAAAATTCCCAGTGTTCTGCACTAAATTTCAGAAAGAATTTCTTCTTAGAAATAATGGTATACATGATAGCTTTATGTAGCTACAATAGAATTATTAATAACAAATGCTGGGAACTTTGTGGTTAAATATGTGACTGTGTCCTTTCTTAAGAACTTGAAATAATTCATTGGAGAAACTTATCTGAATTCCAAATGACCTACTTACAAATAAAATTTACAAAAAATATAAGCCCATTATATATCAGAAGAGGCCTATGTGCTGATATCTCCTGTGTAATAAAAAGGATTTCCATAGCCAGGTTGATGACCTACTTATTAAAAGCAAATTTGATCCAATAAAATTCCAGTGTTCACTAATTGGACAGCCTTTAGAATTCATCTTAATATAATAGTAGTTGTCCACATTGAATTGAACTTTCTTTTTCCACCACCACATCCTGGTTGCCTACAATTTAAATTGCTTTTCTTAAAGGCAGGAATCATAACTTATTTGCCTGAATATATTACCTGAATACCCAGAAGATCAGATGGTCTTCTAGCCTATGCACACAATTCCCCATTTATAAGTGACCTCATCCAAAATGTTTGCTTGTGCAATGATTGATTATTTGAAATACAAAAAGTTATTTTTTTTCTCGTGGAAATAATGCTATATATGATGATCACTTCCTACAAATGGCAACTTTAGCATCTAGAGCCACACATATGAAGCAATTCATCCTTTCTCCAAATCAGTATGTGTATAGGGGTCCCCAAGACCACCCCCAGGTTCATTGAGTCTGCAGGAAAAGTCACAGGATGCAGCATGTGGTTGTAATCATGGCTGAAATCTGTTGTGGTGACAGGACAGAAAGCACAATCAGCAAAGGGAAAAGACACATGGGGCGAGGTCCAGCGGGAAGCACGCACAAGCTCCCAACAGTCTTCCTATGTAGTCACACAGGATGCACTTAATTCCTCCAGCGAATAGTTGTGATAATACCTGAAGGTATTGTCTACCAGGGAAGCTCACCTGAGCCTAGGAGTCTAGGGTTTTTACCATGGACCAGTCATATGGGAAACCTGTCCCTGACATGTGCCAAAATACTAGACTTTCAGAAGAAAAGCACATCTCAGGGGTAGACCACATTGTCTGTACAGTCTAGGTACCACAAATCCCACTCTTATCATGGAATGATGGGAACCTCCCCACCCCAATCCAAATTCCAGATACCAGCCAGCCTTGAAAACAGCCTTTCTAAGGACAGCAGTCTCAGGCTTTCTGTGCTAACTCTTTTCTGCACAAAATGTTTAAAAACTGTTTCTACGGGCAATAGTGTTCTGAATTACGGACAGTCATGTCCTCCTTTTTTCTCCAAGCCTCAGTCTTAAGAGTGTCAGCTTACCCTCCCCTCGCCCCCAACAGCAGGAGGTGGCCTTGCTCATCTCCTTTGCTCATGAGTAAGGATGTTAGAGTCACAGGGTCGGAACCACCACCTCGTCTGTGTGTTTGTACAGGTACAACAATTGCAAGGCTTGGTGTGTAGCTCAGAGTCTGACATTCTACCATCATCTTCTACCCGGGCACCAGCAACATGCTCCATTTCCCCTGGTACTTTTGCTTCAAAACTCTTCATATATTCTCCGAGGGAACTAAGAAGAGAAAACACAATGGGAAACGTATTTTTTTCAAACATACAGGCCAGTCTGTAAATCAAAATGATTGAAATTTATAGTACTGTCTTTTTACCATATACAAGATTACTTCCAGAAGTTCATGGAAAAATGGGATTAAAAGATAATATGAATTTTTCCGTGATTTTTTTGAAGACGTCTCATAGTCTTCATCTCATGGTTTTTTCACTTGGAGTTTCCTAGAGAAAAATAAGGACACACAAAGAAACCAGTTCTTTCTCACCCATCCAGCTTCTTTGCAAGGAACGAAGTTACCAATTTCTTGGGGAAAAGCCTGTGGGCATCTCATCTACCCCCTTTTGAGAATGAAGGAAGGAAGAAATAAATAAATGGAAGATAGAAATAATGGAGTCTGTCATAGGTCACTTGCTCAGTAATTTTTTTTTTCACCAGTGTTTGAAACAGATATTAGATAACACAACACATAATGACCAATGCTGTGTAAAAGAGAATGTGAGTGGGATCAGATTAAGCAGTATCAGCACCAGAAAGTTTAATATATTCAAGGAGAGCATCAAGTGTTGTCCTACCTGCTTTGTGGTTAGGATCCATTTGAAATCCTGGCTCGCCTACCCATGAGCCATGGGAGACCCAGGTTTTCCTACTGCTCAATGAAAATTAAAGTGGCACTGACCTCCCAGGGTGTTTGTAAGAATTAAATGAGATAAAATTATAATGAACTGAAAAGAGTGTCTGGGTTATGGTAACTCATCAATAAGTTTTGGTAACGATGATGATGATGGAGATGGAGAGGACGGTGACGGGGATGGAGGTGACAGTAAAGCTGACGATGTCGTGGAAAGAACAAAGACACAGAAGCCACATGGACCTATTCCAGTCTCAGTGCTTTCATTTGGTAACGATGATGATGATGGAGATGGAGAGGACGGTGACGGGGATGGAGGTGACAGTAAAGCTGACCATGTCGTGGAAAGAACAAAGACACAGAAGCCACATGGACCTATTCCAGTCTCAGTGCTTTCATTTGCTTCTGGGCCATCCCTGTCCCCAAGTCCCTTTGAGTCTCAGCTTCCTTATTTTGAACTTGGAACACTGCTGGTAAAATTAGATAATATAGATGAACTGTTCATAAGTGCCTGGAACATGGGAACCATTTAATGAATGTTTATTTTTATTACAAACTTTACTTCTGCAGTTTTTGTTCATTTTCTTTTTCTACTTAGTTGTATCTGTCTAAGAGTCTTTGGGTATTTTTTTAAATTGTGTTTCTTTTTTTAATTAAAGACATAAACTAGCATGACAACACTCTATTTATGTAACTAATACTTACTGGCTGTCAGTGTACTGTCACTAGCTTCTTTTTAAAAAATAGGAATAACTAAAAATTTTAGGACAGATGGGTTGGAAGGTGATTGCAAATTTATGTTGAAATTCTACTATACACGAGCTTACACCTGCAAAGCAACACCATGCAATTAAGTCCACCGTGTTCCCAGAATCAGCAGTGACCCAGGGTCTCCCTGGAGCTGTCTGAGACATACATTTCCTGTTTCCAACAGGGCAAAGGTGAAGAAAGGCGTGAACATCATCGGGGTGAGAGCCAGCAGCCCTTCTCTTTGGGATGTCAAGGAAAGCATGGATTCTACTGGGAAGTACGCACCAGCTGTCATCATTTGTCAGAAGAAATCTTCTGGCTCAGAAAACAGGTGAGCCCCAGCTGGCCTTCTATATATTCAGATCAGCTACAATTGTGGCCTCAATTTTTTTTTCCCCTAGATTTGCTAACAACCATTTCCACTGCATTTGGTGTGTGTGCTGTCTATGTTATTAGAGCCTCCTGGTAAGATGGATGGAATCCTTCATTTGGGAAAGGTGGGCTATTACTCACAGTGGACCTACTTAAAACCACAGCACAGCTTCATGACACCTGCAAGGACCTCTCCATGCAGATGGAATTTATCTGAAAATTATGGTCCACTTCAACATGACCTCATTCTAATCCATATTATTAGGGGAACCAAGAGTCTGGATTCCTTTTATAAGATGGTCCACTTTGCAAGTATTAAAAACAAGAGCACATAACTTTCTTTGTACCACTGTGTACATTCCACATTTGTCATGTAGATTTAAATAGAATGCATGGGATTTTATTCATGTGCAGGCATTTTCTAATGAAATGGTAAACTATCTGCTAGAGAATTGTGAATCACTCTATGGAGAAATGAAAACCTGAATCTGTCTCTGACACCCACCAAATTAGAAAAGTCGATTCACAGCTGGAAACCTCATTTGTGGTTCTGGATAATTCCTAGTCTGGTCACATATTTTTGACACTTTCACATTGCTTTTTGGTCTTGACATTACTGAAAATTTGAACAATAATGAAAGTACAAATCCAGGTATATAGCACATTATTTATGGAGTGCATTTTAAAAGTTCATAGTTCAATGTTTGGAAAATATATTTATTTTCCATTATTTATTTTAACATAGAAGTCATGACTATAAACTGATACCTATTACACATTTTTTTCTTTGATTTGTTACCAAGGAGCATTTGCATTTGGGGGGATGATTTGAGTTGGACTCCCTTCCGTGCTGTTTTGCTCAACATTGGTGCTTGAGAATTTAGGTTATCAGCAGCTCTGGTCTGTGCCCTTTCTTTGGCAACCAGTGCGTTTTTCTTGAAGATTTGCTTGTACAGAAAATAAGAGGAAAAAGAAGAAATCTGTATTTGAGTTTTGCCCAAAATGTTCTTGTTGTAAGAACAACATTGATTAACTTGATGAACTTACAAATATGCACACATTCGAATATGTCTGTGATGTCTATGCCAAAAATACATGATTTGAGGAATAAGGTGGTACCTCAATAAAAGGTTTCTTTTGTGTTTTGTAGTTAGTAAAAATTAGGATAGAGGGAAAGATAGATGGACAGGTGGGCAGATGGACTGAAGGATGAATAGATGGGTGGAGCAATGGATGGATAGATAAATGGAAGCATGGATTCTATTCCTTACCAGAAGAAGAGGATACATTTGGGGGAACGGATGTCAACCAATGCACTTATATTTTCTCTTGTGCTCTTTTTTTGCCATCTATTCTCACAGATTATTATTAGTAGTGGTGGTAGTGTTATCCATGAAATGCAAAAGATTTGAATCATTATAAGACATTTGTGGTGTTTTTTTCTTTTGCTATTGAATTTCTGACTGTGAATCAGTTCTAGTTTGTCTTGAGCGTGGAGAGGAAGTATGGTCCTTTCCAAGGGTAACTCCTCCCCATCAAAGTGTAATCTGCCTTTTTATGGATCCAGTAGTTCAGGGGCTTCCAGAAACTCAACCCCTCCAGAAAATATCCAGACACACAAATGCATGGTGCTTGTCATAAAAAACAGGTACCTTGAATAGAATAACAAGCTATGCCTTCAAAAGTCCTGATATTACAATGCCATTCTATATGGACAATATTTCTTATCCCTTTGTAGATTCCGATGCCAGTTTTCTATTTCCTACTATGGGTCTAGATGATTGAAAAACACTTATAAACATATGTATATAATTAGTATGTTATATGTGTATATGCACATATAGTAGTATATTATATAGTAGTATATTAAATGCTCCTGTACATTTTATAGGTGTTATATATATACACATGTTGATGTGAGGATCTTACACTACAGCTAGGAAGGCTTTGCTTAATGAGGACACTCTAGAATGTAGCTCTTTTAGTTTGGGGATCATGTCTTGTTTGCAGTTGTTTTCAGACCTTACAGCAGAGTTTGGTATGCAGTGGGCTCTCTATAAATATTTGTTTACTGAAGTTTTAGAATTAGACCATGTCTCTATTAGTACATTCATTATGATACAAATCTATATGTACATATTTTGAACGGTCTCCAATACACCTATTCAAAAAAGTAAGGTGCATAAATGTATGCATATTGAAGTTTCATTTAGGGAAAACCCAGAGAAAGGTACTTTTATGAGCAGATGATGTTTCAAGAAGACTACATAAAAGACCAGCAACTGTGATTTCTACTGAGGAAAGCTGGGAATCTGGGGGGAAAGGTTGTATGTAAATTACCTTTTTACAGTAAACCATTTGAACAATTTGATTTTTTTAACTATATGCATGTATTAACTATTTACTAAAATGTAGTAGAGATTTTTTGAATATGATATGTTCATTAATATGTTCAAATTTTATTCCTACTTTAAAATTGTTTATTATACTTCTGTCTTTAGGGAATTAAATAAAGGAAAATCATGTTCCATTATTTCAAATAGTGATGGACTAGGGTGTGATATATTTCTCTTAAGGATAATTGGAAAATGTATTATGAAGTGTATGTTTTAATAATGCTAGTAGGGTTTGCCTCAGATAATGTTTTCCTTTATAAGGTGTTTGAGTTTAAATGTTTTAATGTTTGAATGTTTTTCAGTTATTGAAAGTCAGAATCATAACACAAAAAGGCAGTCTTAATTAGCTTGAGAGTCATAGATTTTGTATTGCTAATAATTTATCATGGACCAAGAAGTTGGGTTAATGAAGTTAAGTCACTGTGACAGATGCAATTTTTTGGATTAAGGAGACACTCTTGTGCTAGTGATGAACTCAACAGGAATGAGTGAAGAACTCTTATCTAAGTTGAAATACATCCTTCCTTGTTTGAAGAAATTTAGTTGCTGAGAATATTATCATAACAATATTAACATATGAATGTTATCACAGCTATCAGATCTGTTTTGACTAGGTACTGCCAGCAAATATTATGGAACAGAAGTAGAATAACTAATTATGCTCTGTCCATCAAATTTCATTTTGCATTTTCTGAATCCTGTTCACTATAGCACTATATCAACTAAGATAAATATGTACCAAAAGCCATATATTTTCATTTCCTTTAAGTTCTACACATAGATAAGGGTTTCCCATAGCTTACCACAGTCAATATGTAGATGATTTTAGCTGGTACACAGAAATGAGATTGAATAAACTTGAATGACAGACACTTAGATACTTTTTGGTTCTCCCGCAAGGCTTCTGATTGAAGAGAAGTCCATCTTCTTTAGGTGATAATATGTCTTTGAACCCTCTATTTCCTGTTAATAGATTGTAGACAGGCAGGAGTACATAGCTAGAATTTAATCACTTCTCCATAATAATTACCTGTTTATTCAATGTAATACTGACGTTTCATGTATTGTAGGTAATGTGTTTCATTTTAAAACAAATATGTCTTAAATAATATCATGAGGTGCCATAAATAAAAGGTGATTGATATTTCAAATATAGACAAATGTGATTAAAATCATGAATGCATACTCAAAGTTAGGATACACTAGCACTGATAAATATGTCTCAAACTGTTAGGATTGGTCTGATTGTTTAATTTTTTAAAGCAAATAAGAATGGCTTAAATAAGATAGACGTTTCTTTCTCTTTCACATAAAAACAGATGTGAAGTTGGCTGGCCAGGGCTGTTGTGGAAATTCCCCAGTACCCTTAGCATCCTAGGCTCCTATCTTTCTGCAACACCATTGTAATGTGCAGTTTGCATCCTCATAGACTAATGTAAAAACGGATGTGAAGTTGGCTGGCCAGGGCTGTTGTGGGAGTTCCCCAGTACCCTTAGCGTCCTAGGCTCCTATCTTTCTGCAACACCATTGTAATGTGCAGTTTGCATCCTCATAGACTAATATGGCTGCGGGATGCCAGCCATTGCACCAGAATTGCAGGCCAAAGAAAAGTGACAGACTCTTGCCAACATCCAATAGTCTCTCTTGCATCTCTTTGGTCAGAACTTAATCATGTGGCCACACCAGACTTCAAAAGAAAGCAGGAAACATCATTATTATAGGCAGTGTGCCCAGTTCAGAATCAGTGTTCTGCCACAAAGAGAAAAGGACAGGCGGGATGACTTGGGCAACCAGCAAACTCTAGTTCAGCAATTTATGAAGAATAAACACTGTGGGATTTCCAACAGGATGACGAAAAGAATGTAGTACCTAACTATCTCCTTTACTCTATCAGATTCCCATGAAAATATCCAGTAAAATATAATAGGGGTGGGGAAAACCACATTAACACTGTACTAGAAAAGTTATTGTGCGTATGTTAGAAACACAGAGAAATGTTTGTTAAAGTACAGAAAGGACTGGTTTGAGACAGGACTTAACCATAGCCAGTCTCAGTTGTGCCTTTTGTAAAAAAGTGGGGGACCTGGAATGTGACTGAAAATGCAAGCATAAAAACATCTGGACCATCTCCTAATATAGACAGCAGGTTGTGCCACAGGTGGGCATGACGTGTCAAAGTCAGTGAGTTTTCCCATCTGGACAGGTAACTATAATAGGCCAAATTACTGGATAGGTAGAGGCACAGTACCCAAAAAGGCGGAAAACCCTTAGACATGTGAAAATATTGCTGCAAGAAAAAATATAAGGAAAACCTCAAAAAATCAGAGACAAAGACAAAATTTCCTGCATAAAATAGAGAAGATTTTAGAACCTGATCAATGTCCTCAGATTCAACATAAGCGTTGCATCAAAAAGATAGATCGAGCCTGCAAGAAGAAGAAGCCACTGGAGATAAGAAAGGTGGTAAGATGCTGAAGAATACAATGGCTATTAGATTCACTACTGCAGAAAATATAGTCGGTGAAGTTGAAGGAAAATAAGAAAGAGAAATCACTGAAAATCA